GGGGGGGGGGGGGAGTACTTTTGGCCTCCCAAAAGCTTGGTCAAACATGCTCTTAATGGCCTTACCATAAAGGCCCCCATGCACCAAGGAAATTAGAGTTACAAAATAAACAAAGTAATGTAGAGCGCATAGCAATCAATGAATTACGCCTTATTCTCATGCTAGTTAAGGCCGGCTGTAGCGGATTTATTTTAATGTAAACTGTATAAATTAACTCAATTATACGTTTAACCAGAGATCCATAGCCTATGACTGTGCAAAATGTATGCATCCTAGCATAGTTTTAACAACGAATGCTAACTGAAAAATAGATCGGATAGTAATAAAACCCTAGGATCAACAACCAAAATTGGAAGTAGAAGACATCGGACGACGGAAGACCAGGCATTTCAAGAGCAGTGTTGTGAAGAGCGTGAAGCGAGGAAAAGTGAAAACCCCCATTTCACGAAAAGCTAGAAGCGAAGCGCTCGCCTTTTTTTAAGTGAAACGGAATTAAAAAAAATTAAAAAAAATATTGCATAGATAACACATGTAATTGTAAGCAAATGTTCAATACTTCAATTAAAAAACTAAATTAGCATCAATTAAAGCACAAAATGAGCATCATATTCTTCTACAAGATTGTCAAATTCTTGTATTTCACTATCATTATTATATTGCTCGTCATCTTCTTCAACTTCATCTTCTTCATCAACTAGGGACAAAGTAGCTGCCTGTTTTCCCTTCCTCTGTGAACTTGAAGTTGAGGTACTCCCCCTCAAACCATAAATCCTCTCCCCAATTCCACGCGCCTCCGCAACATCACCCCAAGTGAAATCAGAAGTATCCTCAAATACTTCTTCATCTGCATGATCTTCCGGGACTCCAGTTAGCCATTCATTAGCATCATCGATGTTGTCCAAACTAATTGGATCAATTACATTGCGAGCGTTGTAACGACGCCTCAATGTTCTATTGTACTTAATGAAGACTAGATCATTGAGACGCTTTAAGGTTAGTTTGTTCCGCTTTTTGGTATGAATCTGCAAATACTAAGTAATTAGTAAGATTAGGACAATTTAGATATATTTTAATTATCTCAATATACTAAATCTTTCTTATTAGTTCTTAGATGCTCAAACACGCTCCAATTCCTTTCACACCTAGATGAGCTACATGATAGACTAAGAACCTTGATGGCAAACTTTTGTAAATCTGGAGTGGAATGACCATATTGCTTCCACCATTCAACTGTAGAAGTAGAACAAATTTTCAAAACATAATATTGATAAAGAAATAACTTATTAACTAATAAACAACATATAAGCACTCGCTCACTTGGTGACTTCGTCTTTCTTTGTCTAATGGCCATGTTTTTTCCAAAAAGTTGCTCGGCATTCCTATAAGTACTAAATTGCTCTGTGATTTTATCTTGCACGGATTCTTCAGGTATCAACTTCTCAATACATTCATAGTATCCATTCCACAAAGGTTCATCTCCTAGAATCCTCTCTTCATTGTCATAAAATAGTTCCGGATTCAAAACAAGTCCAGCTGCATGCAAAGGGCTATGAAGCTTACTATCCCACCTTTTATCTATGATCTCAAAGACTCTTTTGTATTTTTTTTATTACTAAAAGAGGCTTGAATAGCCTCCTTTGCCCTATCAATTGCTTTGTACAGGTAGCCCATTGGTGGCATTTGCTCCCCATCCACCAAACGAAGCACTTTAACTAAAGGACCACCAATCTTCAATGCATGAACCACATTGTTCCAGAATAAAGGAGAAAGTATAATATCTGCAGATTCTCTACCTCGAGCTTCCCTTCCATAGGCACTGCTAGTGTACTCATCTGAAACAAACAACTTCTTCAAATTGCTTTTTCGCTCATACATCCTATGCAAAGTCAAGAAAGCAGTAGCAAATCTTGTCTTTGCAGGTTTCACCAAGCTTCTTTGTTTAGTGAATCTCTTCATCATGTTCAATAACAAAGGCCTTTGAACAATATAGGAATGCAATCTAATTGCCTGATTAAAGACAGTACTGAAGGGTCTTTCCTTGAAAATATCACCGAAGATCAAATTAATTGAATGTGCTGCACACGGAGTCCAATAGATATGTGGGTACCCAGTAGACATCAAATAACCAGCTTTAACATTTTCACTGGCGTTGTATGTGACAACTTGAACAACATTTTCTGCTCCAATAGAGTCTATTGCACTCTTGAACAAGGAGTACATTTTGGTTGAATCAGTCGAAGAGTCGCTTGCATCGACGGACTCAAGAAACAGGCTTCCCTTAGGAGAATTCACCAAGATATTGATAATCATTTTTCCATTTCTCGCCCTCCACTTATCCATCATAATGGAACAACCAAACTTGTTCCATTCTACTTTGTGCTCCTCCAAGATTTTGTTCACCTCTGCCACCTCTTTTTTTAGATATGGCCCTCTAACTTCATAATAAGTTGGAGGCTTCATTCCTGGACCATATTAGCCTACGGCCTCAATAAAAGCTGCAAAAGTGTCAGTATAATTAACACAATTAAAAGGAAGACCTGCATCATACATCCACCGGGCAAAGCAGGTAACTGCACGGTCCCTCAAAATCGCTTTGGCATCAACTTGAGGATTACCACTTTTTCCTCCCTTATCTCCATATTTTTGCGGGAAGTAACAATCCATAGGACCTTTGGTCTTGCCAGTAGATCCACAGCTAGAAGACATTGGTGGAAGCATCCTTCCCCGCTTTTGTGATTTTGGTGGAAGCGACGAAGCATCATCACCTTCTTCTATTTCATCATCATCATCATCAAGATTATAAAGTTCTTGTTCATGAATCATTTGAGTCTTTAACTCTTTCTTTTTTTGAAGGTATGCTTTCAATTCTTCCTTCACATGCCCCGGAACTTTAGGACAAGATGCGGCATTTGGATCACCACCGATTAGATGCGATTTTTGACGATAGATTCCTCCATTTGTAATCTTATCACAAAAAAAGACATCTAATGGCCATCTTGTTGGTCTCGTTAACTCTTGCTGAGTAAGCCCAAGCCGGGTCTTTCCCCTCTTCTTTTGGCGCCATTAAAAGAACAACTACATAACACATAATAAAGGCAATAAGAACTAAGAATAAAAGATATAATAATTGGGCAGAAACTGGGCAGAATTTTTCTAAAAAAAATTCGCCAGCATTTCGGCACTTTTTGGACGTTTAGAAAGAAAAAGAAAAAGAAAAAGAAGAATAAGAAGAATGAAAATAAAAAGTGCAGAACATACCTATTGAAAGTTGCTGTTGTAATGTTGAAGAAGAAGAAGAAGAAGAACAGAAATCGCTGCTTGAAGTTAATGAAGAAGAGAGGAAGAAATCACTGCTGCTGAAGAACCCTAGTTTCTCGCGGCCGCTGCTGAAGAAGTCGAAGAAGTCCAGAGAACTAAAACATTAACCAAGTTTTTAATTAAATAAGGCTTTGGGTCTTTTAATTCAAAAAGCGTCTGCTTCGCTCGCTTCTTCTCGCTTCACCGCTTCTCGCTTTTTACAGAGAAGCGGTCGCTTATACATACCAGAGTCGCTTTTATTGGTAGAAGCGCTGACCCTTCCGCTCCGCTTCGCTTTTCGCTTAAAGCGAGGAAGCGCTCGCTTTTTTTTATCACTGTTCAAGAGAGATCAACAGTTACCTAAGTGAAACGATTGGATCAATATGTAAATGCAAATGAGGGACGGAAGAAAGAAATAAGGCGCTCAAGAGTTTATATATGGAAGCGCCAGAGTAGAAGATCTTAACAATGTTTGAATAATTCTGTTCGATTTGTTTGCACTTAAATCTTAGTCATTCAGATTTCAGACCTTGCCTCCTTTGTTTTTATTAAGATTAAGATGTCTAAATATTAATATGTATTAAGATTATAATATCAAAATCTGAATACACATCTTAATATTAAGAGCCTATTTGGCCATGAAACTATTTTCACCTTTTTCGAAAGAATTTCACTTTTTTCAAAATTAATGTTTGGCCATAAATTTTCCAATTTTCACTTGAAGATGAATTTTGAAATTTTTCGAAAATTTAAAGAACTCCAAGAAGTTGTTTTTCAAAATTTTCACTTAGATCACTCATAAAAATTTAAAAACAACCCAAAATTATATTTATGTCCAAACACAACTCTGATTTTCAGGTACCATTTTCACTTGGAAAAATAATTCACTTTTTTTTTTGAAATTTTACAATTCTTATGTCCAAACGCCCACTAAGATATTTTTTAAGATCTGAATACTGATTAATTAAGGTTTTCTCTACATTTGAATATGTAAAACTTGTATTTATTTAAAAATTAATAAGTATAAATTTAAATTAAATAATATTAATATAGTATTATATTAATAAAATAATTTTAAAAATTATGGTGGTTGCTGGTGATGATGGCTGACAGTGGTGGTTGTGGGTGTCAACTGGGTAATGGTTGGTGGTAGTGTTGATTGATAGTAATGATTATGGGTAGTAGATGGTGGATGACTGTAGCAGTTAACGATGTTGGTTGGTGGTGGCGATGGCTGATAACAGTGATGAATAGTATATAGTGATGATTGGTGATTGTTTTGGTAATAGTGGTTGGTAGTGATGGTTGTAAGTGATGGCTAATTCTAGTAACAATTGACTTTCGTGCTTGGCAGCAGTAGTGATTGTGGCTGAGGATGGTGGTAATGAGCATTGGGTGGTGGCAGTCTATAATAGTGGGGGACATCGATAATATACTGATGGTGATTAGTGGTAAAAGTTTAGGAGTAATAGTTAAATATCATTTTTGCATAAATTCTTGAATGTATATCATCTTAATGATATTAAGACTCTATTATAGATCTTAATCATCAAGATCTATTAAAACATATTAAGTGGTTTTAAATTTAAAAAACAAACAGACTTAATAGGTTAAGATCTGAATGATTAAGATAAATATAAAAAACAAATGTACTTAATGATTGAAATTTGAATGATTAAGATTCAGACCTCCCTTAAGTGCAAAGAAATGGGGTGTGTTTGTTTGCACTTAATGATGGAGGTATGAATCTTAATCATTCAGATTTGAGACATTAAGGGTGTGTTTGGTATGAAGGAAAATATTTTTCCAATTTTCTCATGTTCGGTTGGCTTAAATATTTTGGAAAACACTTTCCTCGTGAACTCATTTTTCTCTAATTGGAGGAAAATATTTTCCCCATCAAGAAAAGGGAAACCCTTTTTCAAAATTCCTTCTCAACATTTCCCACCCTATTCCCCTTCCCCATCCCCACCGACCCACCCCCATACCCACTACCCAACCCCACCCTACCCTAAACCCCCCGCCCCACTCATGCCTACCCACCTACCCCTCACTCCCACCCCCACCCTAAATAAAATATTATTAATAGTACTTTCTTTTCATGTTATAGATAGATTTTTTTCTGCATTTCAACAATGAGCATTTTTTTTACATGATATAAGAAAGTATTTTTTTCATTTCAACAAAAACGGTACTTTCTTTTCATAGAAAAAGTATTTTATTTCATTTCAACAAAAATAATATTTTCTTTTTCATGATTAAAAAAAAGTATTTTTTTCATTTCAACAAAATGAGTATTTTCTTTTCATGATGTATAAAAAGTATTTTCTTTTATTTCAATAAAATGAATACTTTATTTTCATATAGTAGAAAGACTACTTTCTTTGTCAATAAAAAAAGAGTATTTTCTTTTTAGTTATGGAGCATAAATTTTTAACGTTATTTTTGCGTAAAAAAGTAAAGCACCAAATTAGTTCCTTTGGGTTTGTTTGAATTTTTAGAAGAATAATTAAATTCTTAAAGAAAATAGAGTCCTGAAAACGTTGGGCATTTGGGGGGGGGGGGGGCAAG